GCTGCCTTTTAATGTAGGTAAAAATGAGTTATAATTAGCTCATTAACTGCCGTTATCAAATGGGTGCTGTCTAGATTCACACGTCCCTCAGCCCTGCTGCCCCCTGGCGTTGGGCCTTCCACTTGCTCGGCTCCCTCCCTTCTGTTCCTCCTGCCTTTCCCTTCCTGGCCCCTTCCTGGCCCCCTTCTCTCTCCTCCCATCGACTCCTCTGCTTCCTTTCTTAAAGATTTCCTTGCTTATTTGAAAGTCAGAGCTGCATGGTGGGAGAGACAGATCCTCCCTACGTGGCCACAGCGACCAGGGCTGAGCCAGCTTGAAACCTGCAGTTTCTGCCCCAGCTGTCTCCCACTGGGCGGGAGCGCAGTAACTTGGGCTGTTTCCCTGCTTTTCTCAGGCCTTTAGAGGGGAGTTGGATTGGAAGTGAAACATCCCGAGACTGACCAGGATCCATAGGGGAGGCTGGTGTAACAGGTGGCAACTTTGCTATACCACAACACTGGCACCTGTGCCCATTCTTCACCTTGGAAAGAGAGATGCCAACAGAGACCCAGCCTGTTTAATGCAGTGGTTTTTGTTTTACTGTTGGTGCATCAGAGTGTGACACAGTCGATGAAGTTGCAGTAATTAATGCCACATGTTTTCACTGAGACGTGGTTTTTTGGCAAAAGATGCAGAAAGTGAACATTGTGGAGAAAGGGTGAGACACCGCTAACGTGGGGTTTCATGGTTGACGGGGCCTTCCGGCATCTTCCGTGGCAGTTGATGCCGTGTGGGGAAGCCTGGGGGCGGGTGTGTAGGACACGGGTGGCTTTGTCCTTGCTATTCGGAAGTGGCCAGGATCACGAGGGGGTGTTAAAGGTAACTAAGGCATGCAGTAGTGGGCAGAGCTGGACGCAGTCAGCTGTGGGGAGCGCTGGCAGCAGTGGGCCCTGGTGGTCACAGCTCCTCCTGTGGAGTGGGTTACATTCTGGCCACCAGTTCGGGGGCCCCTGTTCTGGCATTCCTTTTCATTAGAACACACTGAATGAAATCAGCCTCAGCCTTCACATTGCTTGGGAGAAGCTGCTGGATTGAAAATCAAGGGAACTCCTATGTGCCCCCTGCTCAGGCTGGTAAGACCCACCCTTGGGTGTGTTTCTTGTGCCTCTCTTGTGGTCAGTCACTCCTGGGTAGTCCTGGCCTCCGGGCTGTGGCTGCTGCCACTGCACTCTTGCTTCTCAGAGATGAGTGCCCGGAAGTGCCATGCCGCGCGAGCCTGGCCGCCATCCTGCCAGGTGGCTGAGGCTGCCCGGGAGGTGCGGGGCCGGAGTGGGCTGCGCCTTGAAGACCGAGCCTCCTTCCTTGGCTTTGGACACGGGTGAGAGCTGTGCAGTGCTGTGTGCAGTTTGCTGCTGCAGCTGTGCGCTGCGCTCGTCACTGGCGTGCTTGCATCCTTGGTCCTCGGTTGTTCTGACTGTAGCCAGGGAGCCAGCGGCATCCACCAGGCGCTGAGACATTGACGGTCATGTTGGTGCTGCCAGCAGAAGTCTGGGAATTTGCTAAAAGTGGAGAAGTTAGCTGTCTCTGCAGTCGGGGGTGAGGAGAGTTTGAATTCTTAAAGGTAGTGATTGTGATGAGAGCTTTTGTTTCCCAATGAACCTTTATCCCTAAACTTTTACTTTTAAAAAGTATACTAGAAAAAGATTCAGAATCCCATTCCCTGGCCATTTTGAGATTAGAAATTCAAATTCACCAGCAGCCCCGGAGGGGGAGTCGTTGCAGGTCGTTTCCAGTTCTCCCATGCTGCGTGGGGTGGAGGTGGCCCTGACACTGAGGTGCGTCTGCCCTGGTGGGCCAGCTGCTTTGCTGTGCCTCACCCTCCTTCCCACAGACAAGCTGTCTTAGGTGCCATCTTTGCAGCCCCCGAGGCTGGCAGGGCTCCTGGCTGCCTTGGCGGGAAGGACAGGCTGATGTGGGAACCGCCTCTACAAAGCCAGAGAGCTCTCCCCTAGCTGTGGCCCCGTGGGCCTCTATTCGTCGGCCCTCTCCCGAGCCCCCTCCCCACTCCCAGCTGGACTGGCTGCTGACAGCACAGCAGTGACTGAGTAGCCTGGTGTCCTGGTCGTCCTTTTTTGTTTTGGGGAACTTACTCGCTGAGTGTTTATCTGTAGCGTGGGCATCTGCCATGGAGTGGATGTAACATTTCTCAAGAGTTTCTTTCTTTAAAGGGCAGGATGGTAGAGATATCTTCCATCTGCTGGCTCACTCCAGATAACTGTAGCAGCCAAGGCCTGGCCAGGCTGAAGCCGGGAGCCAGGAAGCAGGTCTGTGTTCGCCCTGTGGATGTCAGGGACCCAGAGGGTCCATCCTCTGTTGCCTCCCAGGGTGCACGTTAGAGGAAGCTGGATTGGAGTAGCCAGGACTGGAAATGGCGGCCTGACATGCGAGGCACATTTCCCAAGCATCAGTTGAACCCATGTCCGTAGCACCTGCCCCAGAATGATGCTGTTGGACTGATTCAGCAGCGACAAGGCCTGAAGTATCAGCAGAATGAATTTGATTGGTTCCATCCTCAGATTGATGCCTCTTGTGAGCAGGCGCTATTCCAGGCTCTGGAGATGGGGCAGTGAACTGCTGCGCTGCCTCTCCCTGGGCACAGAGCAACTCCTGAGGGCTCCAGAGAAGGTGCCAGGCCAGGAACGGTTCTCTGCTGCAGACATGGGGTGGGGAGGCAGTGACACCAGCAGTTTCCATAGTTTGTGCTCCAACCTCGTTCCCTGTCCCCACCCTTTACCCTTGGAGGAGAGTTGCACAGATTGGACAGTGGTGGGAGGCTTGTCGTGTGCAGCTGTCAGGCAGTGATGGCAGTTGGACTCTGCAAGTCCCTCTGAGCTGTCACCCCTTGATGGGCTGTTAGGGACCCCTGTGGTGCTGTGGCTGTGCAGCGCAAACAACAGATGAAACTCAGCACAGGTGTGACCTGGTTGTGTGTATCTTGTGCAGGCTGTGGGCAGTGCGTCCTCCATGGGCTGCTTCTCTTCTGGAACCTGAGGTGGGGCTGGCATTTGGGGGGCATGCAGGCACACGAGGTCCGGAGGACATGGTGTTTACTATTGTAAGAAGCCAGCCGACAGCCGTGAGGTGTACTCGGCAGGGAGAGTCAGGGCTGACATTCTGGTAGACTGGCTGTCCTGTATACTGGTGCTGTCATGCCTTCAGGCTGGGGGTTGTCCCTGGAGTTTTAGCATACGGGCTTGGGTGTTCTCTCTTGAGTTTGGGCCAGGTGCTTGACCGCACTTACCCTACATCCTTATCTCAGTGCATCTGCAAATCTTTGTGCTGCTGTCCTTGTCCTTGGAGCAAGACCCCAGGGTGCAGGAGAGAGCACTGGTGTGGCCGTGATGGAGCAGACAGCTGACTCTTCCCCAGTTGTGCTGAGGGGAGGTGGGGACCGTCTCTGTGACCTGTCATGGTGAGCGGTGGAGGCGGGGGGGGGGGTGGTCCTCTACGCACTTCTTGTGTGAAGTCGGTCGCCCACGGCTCTTCTCTGCTGTGGACATTAAGCTCCTAGCATTGCTGACGGTGGGAAGTGTTTGGTAACCAGTTAGACTGTCAGTGACCTGCCGAGCTGGTAGGGAGATTGCTAAATGCATTGTATGTGGTCTGTGTTGAAAAGATATATGCTTTACTTAAAAAACATTGGCACTTTGATGGTTTTGGAAAAATGACTTCATTTTAATTCATGCCATTATACTTTTGTGAATTTATCAAAAAGCAGTTTGTGAATGAGTGAATCAGAAAAGTAAGGTGAACCTTATTATTTTTAAAAAGTAACTGTAATGCACTTAGTGGATCCTGGCACTGCAGGTGCTGTCTGAGGGTGGCTGTTGGGTGTGTGTGCCTGTCGTAGCCTTGGCTAGCCTGTAAACCCGAGCAGTGTTTACAGCAGTTTCTCCGGAGTGGAGGCTGCAGCAAGAGGAGGTTGAAGAAAGAGCAACGGCAACAACACCAACAAACCCTAACAGTTCGTTAAGAGGTGTTGGTTGCTGTTCGTTGTGTCCACTGGTTTCTGGCTGTTGGGCTAACCACAGTGTATTTGTGTCTTTGTTTTATTAATCAGTCTTGGAATGGAGGTAGGTATATATGGTTTGTTAGAATTGATTAGGTTGGACTGCTTGCCTCAATTCCCCATCGCTAATGAATCCCTTCGAGCAAATCCCTACGAGGCAGCTGTGCATTTTTCCTGCTGTGTGCAGCCCGGGTCCTGAGCCCTAACCTAACCAGCACGGGCTCCTGACCTGGTCACAGGGCTGGCTTGTCCAAGACACAGTGGTGGTGGAGCGGTGCCTGTGAAGTGGAGGGGAAGAGCAGCAGTTGAGAACTGCAGCCTGCAGGCTCAGGAGGAGGCGCGTGTGCTCCGACCCGCAGGTGTTGGAAGCTGAGCAGTGAGCTGGCTGGAGCTGCTTCCTGCGGGAGTGCTGCTAGCCTGTGCGGAGGCTCGGACTTACTGCTGTGGAGCCAGCAGCCACGAGCAGGTGGCATTGAGACTCTGGGTGTGTCATTATCTTGTCTGTCATGTCCCGCAACACCCCTCATGCAGTCTCGGGCACCCCAGGAGGCACTGGCAGGTGATGGAGCACAGCAGAGTGGGGGGCTTCAGTAATCCTTCTGGGCTGTATCTTCTGGAACAGACTTCCTTCTCTCAGGGATGGAAAACCTGGAATTCTCTCATTTTCCCAATGTGAAGTCATTGGAATGATTCCTTTGTGTAAGAGCAGTTGTGAATGTATTGATAATTGGTATTGACAAATTTCACTGCTGTCAGTCTGTGGAGATGAGTCCTGCTGTGTGGCTTTGCTCACTACCAGGTTTTCACTTTGTGACATACTTTGCCAAAAGCAGCTGAGACAGTGGCTTCTGAGTGGCCAAAAAGGACTTAGTGTCAGGCTGCTGTAATAACGGGTGGAAAGTGGGTTTTGGGTGGATGCTAACACAAGTCTGTTTTCTCTTCTGCCCACTAGACTTCATGAGGAAATCATTGACTTTTATAACTTCATGTCCCCTTGTCCTGAAGAAGCAGCCATGAGAAGGGAGGTGGTGAAGCGGATCGAGACTGTGGTGAAGGATCTCTGGCCGACAGCTGAAGTGGGTGTCTCCTCTGCTGTGTCCCCCACCGAAGTAAACGGAGACCCCTGTGATTTTCCTGTCAGTGGGTCTGCCCAGACCTGTGTCTCACTGACCCGGCCTGGTCCGGTGCTGCCAGTGTTACCTGGGAGCTTGCTGGAAATGTGTTAGCGCTCTTTGGTTCGGTTCTTCCAGCTACTGTGCTTAACACGCTGACACGCTCACACGTGGGCAGCACTCACTTAGCATGCTGACACGCTCACACATGGGCAGCATTGCATTTAACACGCTGACACGCTCACACGTGGGCAGCATTGCACTTAACACGCTGACACGCTCACACGTGGGCGGCATTCACTTAACATGCTGACACACTGACACGTGGGCAGCATTGCACTTAACACGCTGACACGTGGGCAGCATTGCACTTAACACGCTGACACGCTCACACGTGGGCAGCATTGCACTTAACACGCTGACACGCTCACACGTGGGCAGTATTGCACTTAACATGCTGACACGCTCACACGTGGGCAGTATTGCATTTAACACGCTGACACGCTCACACGTGGGCAGCACTCACTTAGCATGCTGACACATGAGCAGTGTCTGTGCTTAACATGCTGACATGCACATCAGAACTGTTGGTCAAACTGGAATGTATTTTTTAGAATAGTGTGATAATTTGTTTTAAATTCCCCTTGTGTTTGAAATTCTGTCCCTATTCTGAGCCTCTTAGTGCGCACACCCAGACGACGCAGGGTCTTTGTAATACTCATTGTTCACAGTGAGGGCGCGGCTGTCTACAGCGTGAATGTGTTTGATGATTTGTTCGCCTTCCCAGGGTGGCTGAGGCACGCTGGTGCTGGTGGCACCTGGCTGCCGAGGGGCAAGGACAGCCCACTCGGTTTCCCTTTTGTAACTTCAGTTTCTGAGGTGGGACCCTGAAGCCTTAGCTGAGAGTTTGAGAAATGTTGCCTGAGTTTGGAATTGGCCCTGGAATGGCCTCGTTTGCAGTAGGTAGAGGTGAAGGCAACAATCCTTCAGCTTATAATTGAGATTTTTGTTTCGTTAGGTTTTATTTATTTATTTTTATTGGAAAGGCAGATTTACACCGAGGAGAGACAGAGAGGAAGCTCTTCCATTCACTGCTTCACAAAGGCTGGAGCTGAGCCGATTTGAAGCCAGGAGCAAAGAGCTTCTTCCAGGTCCTCCCACGTGGGTGCAGGGTCCCAAGGCCTTGGGCCGTCCTCCACTGCTTTCCCAGGCCACAAGCAGGGAGCTGGATGGGAAGGAACAGCAAGGACATGAACTGGCGCCCTTATGGGATCCTGGTGTGTGCAAGGCAATGACTTTAGCCACTAGGCTACCATATCGGGCCCCCTTTTTTAGGCTGGGTCTTTAAATTTGGAAGGTTTTCTGGTTCTTGTTGGGTAGTTGTTTTCTGCCTGACCCTCTTCCTGCAGCGTCTCCGTTGGGGCCTAAGCTTAGTAAGAGATGATGGGAAGGTGGGCGGGTGCTAAGGTGTGCCCTCTTTCTTTCAGGTGCAGATATTTGGCAGCTTTAGCACAGGTCTTTACCTTCCGACCAGGTGAGTACCAGCCTGTGTCTCCTGGGCCAGTGTCTGTGCTGACGGAGGGTGAGGAGTGTGTGGGCACCCTGGGGGTCTGAGACAGATTCTCTGTAATCAAGCCCCAAACCGGGAGTGCCGGCTAAAGAAGATGGGGAGTACAGAGGGAAAATGGGCAGAAGGCTCATTTAATGTAATGCAATGATAATGACTTGATTGCTTTGAATTTTTCTTTTTACCCTTAATTTGTTGGGGAACAAACCTATAGAAACGGGAGGGAGGTGAGCAGACACACGCTGCATTCTGAGGGAATGTTGCTTTGGCTCGTGGTCAGGCTGGACGGGCCAGGCTTGAGGACCACTCTGCTGAGGGGATCCTAACTGCATCATGATGGCTTAGCGCAGAACAGGAAAAGGGGGCCAGACTCTGTTCCTTACTTTTTTTTTTTTATTTGAAAGAGGTCTTCCAGTTGCTGGTGTACTCCCCAAATGCCCACCGCACCCGGGCCAGGGCTAGAACCGAAGCTGCCGTCTGTGTGCTGGGCTTCCCGAGTGAAGCCGTTGAGGCTGACTTGCAGGGAGCGCATTAGCAGGAAGCTGCAGTTTGAAGTGGAGCCAGGACTGCAGTTGGTGTGCTGGGCTGGAGACTGCAAGCCCTCCCTGCGAGGCCCTGGGCTCCGCTTCATAGGCAGCTGCTCCATCCCCCGGGAGGCAGTGAGCTCTTTAAAAAAAAGATTTATTTTTATTAGAAAGGCAGATGTACAGAGAGAAAGAGAGCTAGAGAATGATCTTCTGTCCCCTGATTCACTCCCAAGTACCACAGTGGCCGAGGCTGAGCTGATCTGTAGCCAGGAGCCAGGAATTTCCTCTGGGTCTCCCATGTGGATGCAGGGTCCCAAGGCTTTGGGCTGTTCCTCAACTGCTTTCCTAGGCCACAAGCAGGGAGCCGGATGGGAAGTGGGGTCAGCAGGACACGAAACGGCATGTGCAAGGTGAGGATTTAGCCACTAGGCTGCTGCCCTGGTCCTAGTCAGTGACCTCTTCAAGGCCCCACTCCTCGACACGCTGGTGTTAAGTGTCAAGGGTTGTTGTTGTTTCTTTAGATTTACTTATTTATTTGCAATGCAGAGTGATAGAGAAGGCAAGACCGAAGTCTTCTGTCTTCTGGTTCACTTTCTGCACAACATCCCGGCTAGGCCAGGCCAAAGCTAAGAGAGAGAGGCTCTGGGAGGCCCTCCCTGTGAAGGCAGGGAGTCCACGTGCTTGGTCTATCGTCTGCCGTCTGCGAGGAACGTTAGGAAGCTGGTTTGGAAGTGCTGAGTAGTTGGGCCATGAATCGGCACGGTGATGTGGTTTGGGAGCATCCTAAGTGGCCATTTAATTTGCTGTGCTACAATGCTCACCCTAGTCAGATTCTTTTTTTTCCTTAATTAAAGATTTATTTATTTTTATTGGAAAGTCAGCTATACAGAGAGGAAGAGAGACAGAGAGAAAATCTTCCACCTGATGTTTCACTCCCCAAGTGGCCACAATGGCTGGAGCTGAGCTGAGCTGAGCTGATGCCAGGAGCCTCCTCCAGGTCTCCCACGGGTGCAGGGCCCCGAGGCTTTGGGCCGTCCCTGACTGCTTTCCAAGGCTACAAGCAGGGAGCTGGATGGGAAGCGGGGCCTCCAGGACACAAACTGGTGCCCGTATGGGATCCTGGGCACGTGCTAGGTGAGGAGTTGAGTCACTAGGCTACCTTGCAGGGCCCTCAACAGTCAGGTTTCAACATGGCTTTGGGAGAGGACCAAACTATAGTGAGGTCTGCAGGGGTAAACGAAGTGGACAGTGTTCTGCTAAGAGTTTTGATAACTGATCAACTTTGAAAGTTGAGCAGTTGATCCTATGTTTTACTTTATGTTTTACTCTTATGTTTTCAAATCAAATTGTATTTAAATATATTTTATAAGAACCTTATATGATAGAAACATGGCAAGAAAATTTGTGTTCTAAAATTGTTTTCTTGTTGAGGATTCTGATACCTATTGGTTGTGTGTATGCACCATTTCTTTGAAAGTTTTTTTCCGTTACCCCACTACTAACCTGCCTTTGGAGCTGGAAGAAGTCGCGTTAGGATTTGAGGCTTGGTTGGCAGCTCACTGGGAAGCTCAGCAGCGTCAGCTAGTTGTGGGGTCTCTGGGGGCAGGAGAGGTGTTCTGGAGGGCAGCCGTGTTCGCCTTCACCCCTTGGTCACCCCGCGCTGCGCTCCTCTTGGATGACAGACGTTCACCAGCTGCTTTTCTCTCTTGGGTTGTAGGCTTTGTGGGACCAAGTCTCGCTTCTTGAAGGGGAGGCAGAGGCAGTGTGTCGGAGCGGGGTGCACACCGCCTGGCTGACTTGCCTTTTTTTTTTTGCCTAGTGACATCGATCTGGTGGTGTTTGGAAAGTGGGAGCGTCCTCCTTTACAGCTGTTGGAACAGGCCCTGCGAAAGCACAATGTAGCGGAGCCGTGTTCTATCAAGGTCCTTGACAAAGCCACAGTAAGTTCTGTCCTGTGAGGAGCCCCTGGCGCCAGTGGCTGCCTACCTGGCTGCTGTGATGGGCTCACGCTGTTTATAGCAGTTAGTTATATGATGGGGGCCTGACCACGCCTGTGCAGATGCTGCTACTTGTGGCATGAATGTGGGATTATATTTTTGCTTTATTGTAATGATGATCAGCGGAGAGTGTGTTTAGTGACTGTCTAAACTGTTGGAACACGTGGGATCATCCAGTTGTGTTGGCACTAAGCTGGGTGAGTCTGTGCTCATGTTAGGGTAAGTGGAGCACACTGGGGCATTGTGCAGTGTCACACCCTGGTGTTTGTGACGTAAGATTGCCGTGTGTTGAGTCTGGTTCCTTCCAGGACCGAGCTGGTGTCTGCATCGGCCCGGTCCGGGGCGCTGGGTGCGGGATGGCTTCTGCAGTGCAGTCGCTGGCTGGAGGAGTCTCGGATCACTTGCCTACTGTATGAGAGTTACAGCTCACTCTGTGTAGTCACTAGCATTGCATTAAAGATTTTTGTTGTTGTTATTCTTTGAAAGGCAAATTTTACAGTGAGAGGAAAGACAAGAGGCAGGCCTTTCATCCACTGGTTCACTCCCCAAATGGCTGCAATGGCTGGAGCTGCAGCCAGTGATCTGGAGCTTCCTTTGGGTCTCCCACGTGGGTGCAGGGTCCCAAGGGCTCGAGCCGTCTTTGATGCTTTCCCAGTCGTAAGCAGGGGGCTGGATTGGAAAGTCTCAAACCAGTGTCAATATCGGATGCTGGCACCACAGAAGGTTAATGTGCAGCCCCTGGAATTGCTTTAAGTTGGGTTTGATCTAGGTGAGGTGTAGCTAAGATCTGGGCTGGCAGAAGTTGAGGCGTGGACTCAGTTGCCCACACGGGAGAGCATACCTCGCATTTCCTTGGTGCTCTGAGTGCTCTGGTTTGGGGAGGGAAGTGAAAACGTGCACTGGAGTAAGAGCAGGCACAGGTGTCGGGCAAGCATCTTGGAGAGCTCGCTGAGGCGTGGGCACTGCACTGCCAGCCCGTGGACAGTGGGAGCAGCAGATGCAGCAGCAGGCCCCCTCCTGGCCCGTCTGCACAGGGGCTCCCGCGGTGGCCGAGTGCTTCTAGGCCAGGGGTAGGGCGTCTTGATCTGCTGGGGACCGTTTGGACGTCTCTGACATTCACAAGCCATGCAGAATTGTCAGCTCTCGAATCAGCCTGCCATACATTGTTTGAATTTCGAGTCCTGCCTGAAGTTGCTGGGCACGGCCCCCAGGGCTGGCTGTATGCACCCAAGTCCTGAGTCTTGGCATGCTCAGCCTTCCAAGCCAGTCTGGTTGCAGGCATGGCTCTCTCTCAGGTTTTACAGGTGTGGATGTGGAGCACACGTAACTAGCCCCTGGTTTGCAGAATAGCTGGTAGGAGGCAGTTCCTCCAGGCCCTGTGGGCTTTGCCTGTGTGCCTGCCCTTGCTCCTCTGGTGTCCCTCACACAGGCCTCCCTGGCCTGCGGCTGCGCCCTTCCTGGGCTCCGTCTGTGGTTGTGCAGTCAATTGAAGCACCGCCCTCAGAAGAGCCCTGGTGACCATGGGGATTTCTGACCAGTGTTGGGTAGTCATTACAGGGAATGCTTGGGCCTAGTGCCTGAGGGTTTATGCAGCAAGTGCCGTTTGTTGTCTGTAAAATCTGGGGTTCCTGATTTCTGTGAGTAAGGGGAAGCCCTGACAATCCCTATGCAACTTTAAACACGTTCTGATTCCAGACTTGGGAGAATGCTGCATTATTAAAACATGACTCTTTTTCCTCCGAAGATTGATTTATTTTTATTGGAAATATATATTTACAGAAAGAGAATGAGAAACAGAGGGAAAGATGCTCTATCTTTACTCGCCAAATGGCTGCAATGGCCGCAGCTGAGCTGACCCGAAGCCAGGAACCATGGGTCTCCCACGCGGGTGCAGGGTCCCAAAGCTTTGGGCCGTCCTCTACTGCTCTCCAAGGCCGCAAGCAGGGAGCTAGATGGGAAGTGGAGCTGCCGGGATTAGAACCGGCAGCCACAGGGGATCCTGGCATGTGCAAGACGGAGGATTAACCAGTTGAGCATCAAGTCCAAAGCACATTGTTTAAATTAAATCTCTCCAGGTACCAATAATAAAACTTACGGATCAGGAGACTGAAGTTAAAGTGGACATCAGCTTCAACATGGAGACTGGTGTCCGGGCAGCAGAGTTCATCAAAAACTACATGAAGGTGAGTTAGCCTGTAGCTGGTACCCTCAGCGCTCCTGGCGCAGGAATACCTTCTGCCAACCCCTGCCAGCACTGCCGGAGGTTCCCAGGAGACTCACAGTACCATTCACATTGGCTTTTCTCCACTCACCATCTCTTTAGGCAATGGTTATTTTAGTGTTAAGAGGATCTTTGTAATTATCCAAAAGCCAGTTGCCCTGGCTCCAGGTGTGTCCTTGGCAGTTTGGGTCCAAGCTTTGTTGGAAGGGGGTGAATTGCAATGCAATTGAGGTTTACCACTCAGGACAGCCCCAGCCAGCACCTGGGCAGGGGTTGGCAGCGTTGGACCCCATGGATGTGTAGTCTCCTGGACAGGTGGCCCTTACCCCAGGGGAGGGAAGAGACGCATGACCTGCCTGGTGGCCTGGGTCGCTCCCTGGCTGGGCTCAGACACCTTGCTCCGTCAGCTCTCCCATTGCTCCATGCCACCATCACCTGGTCTGAAGGAGTGTTCCTGCCCTGAGCGGAGCATGCTCTGTGTTGGCCAGGCCTCCTCCGCCGTGCTGCCCTGCTCAGCTGTACGCCCTGTTAGGTGCTGTGATTCGCAGCCAGTCTCCCTCCCCTGCGGGCCTTCTGTGCCCATGAGAGTCAGCAGGGCCCTTCAGTCCCGGCTGGGGACTTAGAGTGGGGATCTGTGTGGTCTGGGTCTCCATGGGCCCCTCGGTACATTAATTCTTAGGTGCCTAATCTTGAGACTATACCTAGAGCTCAGATGAGCAAAATAATTGATTGTAAACTTTCTGTCTATAGTTTCTGTCAAAAGCATATTAACTAATTAATATATATATTTTTGTTTACAGAAATATTCATTGCTGCCTTACTTGATTTTAGTATTGAAACAGTTCCTGCTTCAGAGGGACCTGAATGAAGTTTTTACAGGGGGAATCAGCTCGTACAGCCTCATTCTCATGGCCATCAGCTTCCTCCAGGTATGAGTGTTCATCTCGTAGGCCCCTCTGCCCCATCGGGTGTCAGGCCACCCTCCTGCTCTTGTCCCCCAGGGTTCCTGCCGTGCCGCTCCCATCTGCTGTGCTCCCCTCCCCCTCCGCTATGCTCCCCTCCCCCTCCGCTGTGCTCCCCTCTCCTCTCCTCTGCTGTGCTCCCCTCCCCCTCCACTGTGCTCCCCTCCCCCTCCACTGTGCTCCCCTCTCCTCTCCTCTGCTGTGCTCCCCTCCCCCTCCACTGTGTTCCCCTCCCCCTCCGCTGTGTTCCCCTCCCCCTCCGCTGCTGTGCTCCCCTCCCCCTCCACTGTTCCCCTCCCCCTCCGCTGTGTTCCCCTCCCCCTCCGCTGTGTTCCCCTCCCCCTCCGCTGCTGTGCTCCCCTCCCCCTCCACTGTGCTCCCCTTCCCTTCTGCTGTGCTCCCCTCCCCTCCGCTGTGCTCCCCTCCCCCTCCTCTGTGCTCCCCTCCCCTCCTCTGTGCTCCCCTCCCCCCTCTGCTGTGCTCCCTCCCCCCTCTGCTGTGCTCCCCTCCCCCCTCCACTGTGCTCCCTCCCCCCTCCACTGTGCTCTCCTCCCCCTGCTGTGCTCCCCTCCCCTCTGCTGTGCCCATCTTCCCACAGTGTTGCACTGTTCCCACTTTGTGTCTGGTGGTGGCACCTTCTAGATGATGCTGCCTTCCTGTGGCTCCTTCATAGCTTCTTTGGAGCTCTCTTGACCTTGAGGGTAGTAAGTGCCTATCTGGTTCCGAGTGTCTGTTAGTCTGAGCTGGAGGAAACCATCTTTTCCGTTTAGAAAATTACCATTCCTTGATAAGCGATTTTGATTTGATTTTTGCATTTGATTTACACTGAAAACAAATGTGTCCCCGAGAGGGTTGGGAGCCTCAGCAGCTCGGTCAGCCCTGCACTCTGGCGCTGGTCTGCTTGTGCCTCCTGGTGCTCCACAACAGCCAGAAGGCCCGGTGGCCAGCTGCCCTGTGAGATGCAGCAGTGCTGAGCTGTGTCGTTCTGTGACTAAGTTGGTTTGAACAGTGTCTACTCTCTTTAAAGGCTCTTCAGTGAGAATTCTCTGTTCTGTACCCACTGCTGGCTGGTTGTGTGAGCTGCACCGCTGTGTTTGCACACACTTGTTAGTCTAGCCTTTGTGACCGTGCCTGCTTTGGGAAGTTTGCTGGCTGTCATTGGTACTACTGATGACAGCTACTGTGCCACCATGCCCACCATGGTGACTTCCTGGCTGGCCCTTGCAGAGAGGCTTAGGGCTGGGGGAGTCAGGTGTTACTCTGTGGTCCTTAGCGGTCTCACTGCGTTGTGTAGTTCCACTTCTTGGGGTGTGGTCTTCACAGCTGTTCTCCCTGGAGTCGGCCGTGACTCTGAGCCACAGGGTGCCCGTCTGCTGCTGCCGGCAGTGCTGCTGCAGTCTGGTGTGAGCCACCTTGAGGTGGTGCCCCTGCCAGTGCCATCCCTTTCTTCATGTCCCTGTCCTGCCGTGAAGGGTGCGGTGGCATTTGGCTCATTTCACAGCTTGTTAAGGGGAGGAAGCCAGAGCTGGCATGTGGCAGCCCCATGACTGAAAGGCCTCTTGTACTGTGGGGAAATGCGGGGGCACGGAGGCCAGAGTCATCTCCAGCCACACGCACCTGTGCACGCGCGTTTCCCGCTTCTATTGCTGTGTGGGTGCTGCATGCCCCTCCCCAGGGTGCTGGTGGCCGGGCCTCAGATGTGAGTGGTGCACAGTCAAGATGGCCACCTGCCGTGCCCAGCTGGGGAGATCGAGGAACGGTCTTGAATGTGTCGTGCCTGCCAAAGTAGAAACAGGTGGGAGCAGTGCAGGTCTAGACAGCTGAGTCGAACCTGGAGAGTCAGCATCACACAAGAGGGGCCCAGGTGGTGGCTTTGGTTCTGGGTGTCCTTGTAGAAAGGGTGGTGCTGAAGCAGTGCTGTCGGTGACTCGCGGGACCCCGGGGCGAGCAGGATATGCTTTGCTGTGTTAATGTGCAGGGCTGGTTGCCTCCCCAGCTCAGAGCCCTCAGGTCACCGTGTGCAGTCTGTTGCTGCCACCTATCGGTGGTGTGTCGGAATGATGAAGATGGCCAGAAGCTGACTGTCCACTGTTTAGAGGACGCTGTACGCTTACTCGTCAGTGTTTGGTGTCTTGTGGAAATGCAGATGCCTGTGTGTTTGCGGTTTCAAACAAGTGTCAGGAAAGGTTTGATTGTGCCAGTTAATCGACTGGGACCTGCCGCCCCTGCTTTCCGTGGTGCAACCTTGTGTGCCGTGTATTAGGATGTAGCTTGGACCCACCTGAACTGGGACATGGTGTTTTCCAGCTGCATCCACGAATCGACGCCCGGAGAGCTGACGAGAACCTGGGGATGCTTCTCGTAGAATTTTTTGAACTCTACGGAAGAAATTTTAATTACTTGAAAACTGGTATTAGGATAAAAGAAGGAGGTGCCTATATCGCCAAAGAAGAGATCATGAAAGCCATGACCAGTGGGTACAGACCGTCGATGCTGTGCATTGAGGACCCCCTGCTGCCTGGTAAGGGCGCTTCTGCATGTGCTGCCTGGAGCCAGGCAGGCCTCCAGGGCACCCTGGGTAGGGTGGGGCAGGGAGGTCAGGGCAGCTGGCACCTCTGGGTGCAGGTCCTCCTTAGGAATTCCTTACTGAATGCTTCCAACAAGTTTATTGTCAAATTGTTCAGATTCTTTAACCAATAATTAAGGAAAATATTCTTTCCTGTTTATAAAAGTGTGCCATTCACTTTCCAGAAGCATGTGACATTATATAAAGCGAAAAGCCGCATGCCCCGGTGGCTGCTGGTAGTTAACGCTGCCAGTTTGTTGCGTCAGTGCCTTCCCTAAGCATGCAGTTCCGTATGTGTGTGGGACGTGAGGAGCTGTCAGGATTGACCGAGCAGGCCACAGGAAGGTGCTTAAAGGAGAGATGACTTTACTAAACTACACTGCGGCCATCACCCCTGCTTTTAGAATGACGTACCTTGTCCAAGAACATACCTACTTAGATCTCAAAAAGTTGGGGTGACACAGCTCTTATTACAGAGGCCAGGATATGCAGGGTTTTGTGAATCACCTTCTGGGATGGAACTAAGCATTCAGTGTTGGTTTTCCAGTGTTAAAGGGATTGAAAAAGGAAGAGCAGCAGAGCCAGGAACAAAAGGAGAGGGTTGGAGGGAGACTGAGGGAGAGGTAGCTCGGAGGCACCATCACGCCACGTGCTCTTGGTTTGTGATGAGCCTCTGGTCCACAGACACCTCACTCCTCCAGGGGCCAAGGGCCCAAGGCCGGCTGCAGCGGCCCTGTGCTGGCCATCTTCTTAATCTTTGCCAAGCTCGTGAGCCCATGTGAGAACTTTGCAGTTTATATTTCTTCAGTGGTGAGCGAGTTGAACACCTTGTTTATTAATCCCACACTGTTGTGTGAGCATCTGTTACACAGGAAACTGTGGGTCGGTGCTGAGGGTGGCACACGGGTGACAGGAGAGGGGCTGTTCTGTGGGTCGGTGCTGAGGGTGGCATACGGGTGACAGGAGGAGGCTGTTCTGTGGGTCGGTGCTGAGGGTGGCACACGGGTGACAGGAGGAGGCTGTTCTGTGGGTCGGTGCTGAGGGTGGCACACGGGTGGCAGGAGGAGGCTGTTCTGTGGGTCGGTGCTGAGGGTGGCACACGGGTGACAGGAGAGGGGCTGTTCTGTGGGTCAGTGCTGAGGGTGGCACACGGCTGACAGGAGGAGGGGCCCTTGGCCTCTTCGGTGCAGCCCATGCCTCCTGTCCTTCACTCGGGCCTGCTCCTCTTGTGTGGAGGGAGATTGTTGGCTCACATGCCCGTTTTTCCTGCTTGTCTTTCACCTCTGTATTTGGTGGTTTTTGTTTCACCTCCTATATAATTGTATAATTTTTAAAGTTCTTTGGATTTGATATTTTCATTTTTTAAGGCTCTTGAAGTGTGAGATTGACTTTCTAAAAATCTTTCAAAAGGGAATATACTGATCTACTTTTTGTGTGTGCATGTGTAATATATATAGACTGAAATATGAAACCTTGTTTTTAATAAAAATCGAGCTCCTCTTGGTGGTCTCGCCTGGTCCTGTGTCAGTGGTTCTGTAGGTGTGCCCTGTGTCTGGTTAGCCCCGGAGACCTTTCCAGCTGCCCTTAGAGCAGTCTGTATCCAGGGAGCTGTCCCCTGTGTCTGCAGGTGGTGCTTTTCCATAAAAGATTTATATGCAGTTATATGAAAGGCAGTGTCACCGAAAGAGGACCAGAGAAAGCTGTTTATCTGCTGCTGCACTCCCCAAGGGGCTGCGCTGGACTCAAGCTGGAAGCTACGGACTTCCTCCAGGCCTCCCGTGTGGGTGCAGGGCCTAAGCAGTCGGGCCGCTCTCTGCTGCTTTCCCAGTGGCACTAGCAAGGGAGCTGGACCCGATGTGGAGCAGCCGGGACTTGAACTGGTGCCCACATGGGATGTGGTGTTGCAGGTGGCAGGTCACCTCAGGCACACTCAGTGCTCAGGGAAGTTTGGACTTTGGTGTGTTTAGCTTCCTTGTGGTTTTGCCTCGTGCAGAACGATGAGACTTTACTGCCCGTGTTTGCTCTGCCCGTCATTGCCTCCTGTCTGTTCACGTTGGCAGAGCGGGCCCTCGGTGCGGCCCTCGGTGCGGCGTGTGCACAGGTGCTGAGTTCTTCGCAGGCCTGAGGGCTCAGCCAGACCCACCTTGCTGCTGGGGCCTGGGGCTGTTTCTCATGTGAGAACATCAGAACACTTGGGTGACATCTTAGGTTTTTGGCAAAATTCAACAGCTGCCTTTCTCCTGCAGGAAATGATGTTGGCCGGAGCTCCTACGGGGCGATGCAGGTGAAGCAGGTATTCGACTATGCCTACATTGTGCTCAGTCACGCCGTGTCGCCACTCGCAAGATCCTACCCCAACCGAGATTCGGAAAGGTGACATCTTCTGGGCCCCTGGGTCCTAGGGGTCGCAGGCTCAGCTTTCTGGTGTAGCTTTGTTCCGTGAGGTCTGATAGCTGGGCCGTCCTGTTTCAGTAGCTCTTGAACTTGTTGGTGCGGGGGCTCAGGATGGCTGTATTTGATTCATCCTTGATGGAAAGGCGTTTCTTGTTGTGAACTTGGCATTTTCTTTAGGGGATTTGTTCTGGGGGTCACATGGTGCTGCCTTCTGGCTTCCAAAGCTTTGGATGTGAGACCTTTCCTCAGGCAGTTTTGAGAGTAGCACACTGACCGTTGAAGAGAGGCGTCCTGCACGTGTGCAGAGGATGCTGTGTAGAGGGAGCCACGGGGCGAGGCATGATGAGAACCGGGGGATGGGCAGGCCGGGAGCCGGCGCAGAGCCTCCTGGCTATGGTGGTGGCAGCCGGCGTGTGATTGGGACTGCACACAGCGGCAGGGTGGCACTCCGTGGCACTTGCCACCACCTCCACGCACATCTGTGCAGCGGCAAGTGGGAATGTTAGAACTTTGTGGTTGTTGCAGGTGGGACGGTGGGCTTGCTGCCCTAGCTAAGGGCGGGATCTCATGGTTCGCTGGCTCACTGGAAGTGAACCCCCCTGGCTTGTACATACTCCCACTGGCGCGTGAGCTTCCACGTTCCAAGTGAGGCCGCGTTACATGATGTTGAAGCCCTTTGCTTCGCTCGGCAGCCGGCGGGCTGTGCTGTGCACGCCGAGTGTGCTGACGGCCGTTGTTTCCATGCAGTACTTTAGGAAGGATCATCAAAGTCACTCAGGAAGTGATCGACTACCGCCGGTGGATCAAGGAGAAGTGGGGCGGCAGAGCCCACCCGACACCAGAGCTCGGTGAGGACAGCTCGCGCGTGCTGTGCAGACCACTCTGCTGTCCCTGGGCAGTGACTCGTGCAGGAGAAAGTTGCTTGTTTTTCTGCTAAGCACTCAAACACTGGGGGAGGGAGCCAGCGGTGTCCAGGAGAGATTCAGTGCGTGTCACCCCTGGAATTGTAGAGTTGCTAGTGGCAGCACTGAAGATGTGAGAAGAAATGGGTGAATTTAATTCTAACAATCTATTGTGTTCAGCACAGCTCAAACTGTCAACATTTTAAAACAAAAAAAAAATTAAATAATTCATAGCCTCTTTTTATACTGAATTTTAAAAACCCAGTATGTGCTGATACAGGTTCCAGTAAATTTATAGTTGGCAGTGATTTGCATATACATGTTGATGACATACTTAAGTATTTCCCAGTTATTAGGAAATTGAGTGTGATTGAATGAAATAACTGAGTGTAGAGCGAGCGTGAAGCGGACGGTCCGTCAGCCATGCTGGCACAGGGTTCAGTTCCTTGGGAACCTGGTCTTTGTCCTCTCTCCGCAGACAACAGGATTCAGATAACAGAGCGGATAGCCTTGTGCGGCGGGGAGCAGGCCCAGCCCGGGGAGCCAGGCTCGCCCTGCGGCCAGCGTCTGACGCTGTCTCTGTCCAGCCCCCAGCTCCTCTCCTCCGGCTCCTCTGCATCCTCCGTGTCCTCACTCTCCGGGAGCGACATTGTGAGTCAGCCTTACTGCCCTCAGCAGTGAGCTTCAAATGTCTCCCCTGGAGCTTTGATCACTGTTTCCTGGAGTCCTCCCTGGGCGGTCCTCCCAGCACCTTCACCTTCCTTGTAGGTTTACAACGCTGTTTGGAGGTGAGAGGTTAGGTTCAGGGTCTGTTCTGTGTTTCCTTGAACATTCTTTCTCAGCTGTGATGTCACTTGAAGAAGCCCGCACTGATGTTTCACAGCCAGCCTCAGTGCAGAAGCAGGGCCCAATCCCCTCCGTCTCATCTCCCTCCACGCTTTCCCTTCCCTTCTCTTCCTCCCTGTCTCCCCCTTCCTTCACTCCTCCAGTCTCCCTCCCTCCCTCCTTCCCTTCCCTCTCCTCCCTCTTTCCCCTCCTCTCTCCTCTCTCTCCCTCCTTCCCTCCCTCCTTCCCCTCCTCTCTCTCTCCCTCCTTCTCTCCCTCCTTCCCTCTCTTCTCTCCTCCCTCCCTCTCTCCCTCTTTGGAAGGCAGAGAGGAGGATGCCTGCCACTTGGGGCTGGCTGACCAGAAGCTGGGCATCAGGACCTCAGCCCAGGCTCTCCTGCGGTGGCAGGAACCCAGTCCCTTTGAGTTGTCCCTGCTGGCCGTTTGCAGGGTCAGCTGGAGTCAGGAGCCAGAGACAGGTTGGCTCCAGTTCTCAGATACGCAATGCAGGTATCTTAGCCGTTGGCGAGTGCCAGCTCTCCGTGCAGGGTCTTTTTCTACTTTCCTGCTTTTAAGAAGCTGTCCTTATTTTTTGTGTTGATTTAAGGATTCGGACACGCCACCCTGTACCACACCCAGTGTTTACCAATTCAGTCTACAAGCACCGACCCCTCTGATGGCCAGCTTACCCGCTGCCCTGCCGATGCCCAGTGGCAAATCTCAGTCCACACCTTCCAGAACGTTGATCATGACAACCAACAATCAGGTATATGCCCAGTGGCCCTGGCTGTCTGCAGGGCCTGTTGGGAGCTCCGGCGGGCTGCAGGTCTGTGCTCAGCCTGGCCAGCACTGCTTGTGCCTTCCAGAGTTGCAGGGGCTGGAGGAGAGATTGGCACCATGGCCTGGTTTGTGCTGATAGTTGAGGTGAGGCACGAGTGCCATCCGGGTGTTAAGAGCTCACAGCAGGTTGTGCAGAGTGTTCCTGAAATGCTTAGGTGAGACCTGCCTCAGTGCCTCCCCGGCCCGTGCAGCTCACCGCCAGGTGGTTTCAACCCCGAGAGTCAGCGGGCTGCTGAGGACCCCTGGGCCTCTGGACCCTGTTCCCGAGCAGGCCGCCTGGGGCGAGACTCCTGCTCCGTCCACACCCCTAGAGTCAGCACACGGGAAAGCAGGAAGGCTCTGTGTGCATGAATGACTGCAGCCAGGGCCACGGGCCGGGGCCAGAGCAGGCCGAGACCAGTGACCGCTGTCTGAGAGCTCACGGTTTCGTGAGTTGCTGCTTAGTTTTGAGCGAGTTTTCAGACTTTCAGACTTGGGTTTCTGGCATGCTCCTGTTGGAGTTCAGCAGCCAACACAGCAGCCTCCAGCCTCCTGCAGCCTGTTCCTGGCAGCACCAGCTTGGGCTGGGCCAGGCTTGAGCCTGGTCCTGGCGGTCTCCGTGTACTTTTGGACCCCTGTGGATGCCTCTGTTTTGTTCTAGACCAGGTTCACCATCCCAGCGCCGACCCTCGGGGTGGCCGCTGTTCCTTGCAGACAAGCTGGCATCGAGGGGACAACGTCACTGAAAGGTGTCCACCACTCATCATCCCCAGCCGTCCCTTCTGCGTCCCCCACCCCACTGTCCAGCCCGCATCTGTATCATAAGGTGGGTCCTGTTCCAGCCCCGCCTGGCGCAGCCCCGCCTGGCGCAGCCCTGCCTGGCGCAGCCCCGCCTGGCGCCCCTGGGCCGTGCGGCCATTGTACTTTCAAGTGCTTTAGCAAGTGCGTGTGAGGCAGCCCTGCAAAGGGCAGTGCTGTTCTGAGGAGTCGGCTTTATGCAGGCTTTCCCCTGTAAACAAAGGTAGAAGAATGTGTCAGTATTTCAAAATGTAATACAGGACATTCCTCTTTTTCTGTTGAGCCAGTAAGCAAAAATCTGAAGTTGGCAGTGAGCGGTCCAGAAGGAAGCCCATGGTGCTTTGCAGTGTGCTTGTCAAAAGCACGGGGTGGGGGCTCCCACAGCCGTGTCCTGCCTGCCGCCCGATATGCCTGCCCACGTGCTGCTTTCTCAGCTTCTTGCTCCTGCTTTCTGCTCTGGCACCTCCACAGGCCACTTGCTTCTGCTCCCGTTGTTGGGACGAGCTGTGGGCGGGGGCCCCACAAACGTAGCCCACTTGGGCATTTACAGAGGGTCCTCACGAGGGGGAGGACGGTAGAAGGGACTTCCTTCCTGATTCTTGGATCAGATGGGACTAGTTGGGAGTGCGATTCTCAGTTGGTGAGGTTTAACCCTACCGCACGTTCCCCTGCCCGCCGTTCAGTGTGGGGGACGCCTGGGCCGACTGTGTGGGCAGTGTGTGGTGGGGCACTGGCATGTGCCGCTCCAGTGTCTCCCTGTGAACCTGCGGCACAGGGGAGGTGCCCTGCGTGGGGTCTGCCTGCTGGGCTCCGACACTGCTGTCCTTGGTCTCTCCAGCAGCACAGCGGCATGAAGCTGTCCATGAAAGGCTCTCACGGCCACGCTCCAGGCGGCAGCTACGGCTCCGTGGGCAGCGGCGGCGTGCGCCCCCCTGTGGGCAACCGGGGCCACCACCAGTACAACCGCACCGGCTGGAGGAGGAAGAAACACACGCACACGCGGGACAGCCTGCCGGTGAGCCTCAGCAGATAGTGGCTCTGCTGCGCCTGCGTCCCAGCCTACCTGCGGCCTCGGCGCCGCGGGGCCCCACCAGCCCGGTCACTCTGCATGTCTGCCTGTGTGCTGGTCGCGTCGGCTCCCGGGAGCGACGTGTGCTCATCCGTGCGGCCTTAGCGGCGTGGGCGTCTGCTGCTGTCCCGGATCCGCCGCGCTGCGCCGGGCAGGTGGGCGGCTGTGTGTCTTCATCTCGCGTGGGTCAGAGCCACCGAGGAGAGCAAGCCCGTTGCCATGTCACGCCCACTGATGGGCCGGAGGTCGTCGTTTCACTGCCCTCGTGTTTGGTTTGAAGCTTCGGAACTGTTTTTCTGTGTAAATATTGAAAACTTATGATTTGTGCAATAACTCAGATATTTTTTATTTAATTTCGTATTTTCACATAAGTTATATTTAAGGGAGGAGGGATTTTTTTTAAACAAGCTTAGATCCTTTCCCAAGTTGCATTTCCTAAGTTGGGTTCATCCATCGTGTCCGCTGTTGTCAGAGGGGCGTGGTCACGAGCGCTGTGCTGGGGGCTAGGGGCGTCAGTTTCATGTTTTTGCTTTTGGTCAGTTGCGAGTGGAGGAGCTGGCAGCCTGGCGCCTCTGGGGGCCTCAGTCCCGGGGCCTGGGGCGTGCTGCCCGGCCTCGCTGTGGGTCCCAGCTCTTGGTGAGATGCGAGTGGAGGAGCTGACAGCCTGGCGCCTCTGGGGGCCTCAGTCCCGGGACTGGGGCGTGCTGCCCGGCCTCGCTGTGGGTCCAGCTCTTGGGTCTTGCTCTGACTGTGAGTTCTGACATTTTGGTTTTGTTCTTTTAATCTTGACAACAAATCCAGCATTGAAAGTGCCAGAAGCATAACTTTGTAAGGGGAGTAGTGTCACGGAATTCCACCTGACGAGCACATGGCCTTGGACACGCTTGAGCGAGTTTCAGGCCCAGCCTGTGAGGAGGGGCTGGCGAGTGGCAGCACAGACAGGGGTACCCAGTTTTAGGAAGTGGAGAAAGGAGTCGTGTTGATTCCGTGAGGAATCGGCGTGGCAGTATGCCTGCGTTCTGTTAAGAGCAAATCCACGAGAAGTGCCCCGGCCGCTGGGAGCGGCGCGGGAAGTGTCAGCCACACCGCGGGGGCGCCGGCGTGGCCTGAGAGCGACCCGCACCCACTGCGGAAGCCTGCAGGCTCACTATGCAAGTGTGCTCCGCCACGGCCACCACTGTCCTCGTAGCCTTGTTTGGAACGTGAGCAAATCCGTCCTGCCTAACCCTGAGTTTCCACAGCCCCGCGGTTGTCCCAGGGGTGGGTTGCGTCCTGTGGCCACCTGGCTTCCGTTTTCAACATGGGCCTTTGGGCCCTGCTAAACACTACAGGGAGGTCGGTGTGTGACGCCCGCTCATGGAGGTGTGGCAAGGAGGTGGCAGCTGTTTGTTGCGCAGCTGGGTCCTGGGTTGCTGAGTGCGGATGGCCAGCAGGGAAGCTGAGCGGTGTCTGCTGTGCCTTCTCCAGGAGCCGCCCACTGCTGCTGCAGGCGCCCTGGAGGCCGTCGGCAGAGCGATCGAGAGTTATCCAGAATATTTAAAAATATTTAAATTGTGAACCTATCGATAAGGAGTATTTATACAAACTGACCCGTAGGCCTGTACTAATCTCCACGTTAGCAATATTGACTGTAACGCACATTAAGGACGCCACTGCGGCGACGGCAGCGAGTGTCCCGTGGGGTGCACATTTTAAAGCTCCATTCATAGAGCCGGTTCCATGTTTGTGTCCGTCATGGCGAACCAGATGAATTGGCCTGGCTGCCACTGTGGTCACACGCTACAGGTTCAACAAAAAAATATCATGTTTCGATTTTGTTTGTGTGTGGACAGCAATGTGGAAGCTAAAATTGACATATTTTTATGTAAAGTTTTTCTATTCTTTGATTTTTAATAAACTTTGGAAACCAGCTTGGTGTTTGTGTCCGCTTTCCCCTCTAGGGAGATGGCTGGGATGGGAGTGGACTTGCAAGGGGAGGGGCGTGAGGGCGGCTTTCTGGTTGGTGGATTCGGTTGGCATGTGGTGCTTTGCACGAGGACTGAGCGCGAGAAAAGCAACAGGATGCTTGGTGTCCTCACCTGCTGGAGTGAGCAGGACCAGGGCGCCCCTCACTGCCGCTCAGACAACCGTGCAGACCGCGGGACGATCCCAGTGCTGCTTCCCCTGTAACACGATGGGAAATGAAGAGGAAATTGGTTGGAGTTTTTGTAAGCCAGTGGATGATGGTCTGTGAGCAACTGCAATGCCCTTTGGTGGTGATCCGGAGCCCTGAGGTACAGTGCCTCGTGCCTCACTGAGGTGGGCCTGGTGGGGCAGCTCCCCTCCACCTGAAATGGTGCTGCTTCACACAGCAGCTCGGGCCTTGGCATCCATGCCAGGAAAGAGGGGGCACGGTGGAGGACAGGGTTCACTGTCGGTCAGAGAGCAATGGCAGGGAGCTGCAGTGCTTCAGGAGCGCAGGGCTGGTGGGGCTGCTGCTTCCAGGCTGCGGAGACAGGCAGATCCAGGTGTCACCAGGGCAGCTAGAGTCGGCTGGCAGCTTGTGGAGGTGCAGGCCGATGTTGGCTTGGCTGGCACAGCTGACATCCATGTCGTAGGCAGAGCCGGCAAGAGCAGTGGAATGGGCCCCCAAGCGCATGGTTGCAGGGGACCAGGGAGCCTGCACCCAGGAGAAGCCAGGTTACAGACAGCCTGATGGAGTAGGGGCTTGCTTAGCTGTCTAGGCTGTAAAGCTGACTCTGCTGTCTTTGGGTTCCCAGACCAGGGAAAAGGGCCTGTCTAGGGATGGGGCCGCCTGTCCTCACTGGCAGTGCCCCGTGACTCAACCCTGACATCTCAGTGCGCTCTTCATGGCCAGGGCTCCCCAGCCTTCCTGTGGAGTGGCTACAGGATTTCCAGGGCCAGCTGCTAGGAATCCGGTGTCCAGCAGCCAGGCACTGGGGCACAGATGTAGACATGGCGCTCGTTGCCATGCGCGTGCACCTGCCTGCTGTAGTTCCGCCTCCTTGGCAGTTTGCCCTGTGCAGTTTGCCATCAGGCTCACCTGCGTGATTCATGCCCATCAGCTAACGTAGATAGATGGAGGAAGGGTTGTGGTGAGCCCCAAACACAAAGCACCCACGCATACTTACACATAAGCACCACACAGACACATGTATAAACATACACAAGTGCCCATATCATACAGGTACACTCCCATGCAAGTATATGTATAATGTGCATATAGACATATACACATGTAATATACACTCATGCACACATGGAGACGTGCACAAATACATATTACACATAAATACAGATGTGCTCACTCATTTGGCCATCAGCTCCTAGGGACAGTCCCCACCTCCTTGGTCCTCTTAACAGGACTGCCTCTCACTCGCCCTGAGACTGCAAACCCCTGCCCTGGAGGCTGCCTCCCCATCCTTCCTTCCTAGGCCACTTTGTGTAGTGCCCCCTCTTTTAAAAAGATGTTTATTTTTATTGGAAAGTCATATATGCAGAGAGGAGGAGAGACAGAATAAGATCTTCCATCCGATGGTTCACTCCCCAAGCAGCCGCAACAGCTGGAGCTGAGCCAATCCAAAGCCAGGAGCCTGGAGCCTCTTCTGGGTCTCCCACACGGGTGCAGGGTCCCAAGGCTTTCGGCTGTCCTTGGCTGCTTTCCCAGGCCACAAGCAGGGAGCTGGATGGGAAGTGGGGTTGCCAGGATAGGAACTGGTGCCCTTATGGGATCCCAGCGCATTCAAGGCGAGGACTTTGGTCACCAGGCCACCACGCCAGCCCCCGCATTCATTGCCCTTCTTGTCCTCTCCACCGTGCTGAAACCTGCACCTGTCGCAAAACTATAAGCTGCATGTGGCTCTGTGCAGTGGTCCCCTTGGCAGCCCCTGACCCAAGACTCTGCCTTTCTCCCTGCACCCTTGCTGCTCCAGTGTGTGCACTCGTGCACCAGGGATCTCCTTGAATATCCTACAGGCCGCCGACTGCCACCATCTCTGGTCCTCCCCAAATCAGCTGACTCTTCGTTAGCTGGAATCATCCATTTCTTGTCACCCCATCTGTTCTGGCCTTGTCCCTTGATCGTCCTCTTTTCTGGGCATCAGGCTTCTTGGCCAGCCTGCATCCTGAAGACCACAGTGGCCTGCTTCTCTGCTCTAGGGCCTGGATGCACTCCAGGGACAAGGCTTTGCACTCAGGGGCTCCGTCCTGTCACTTCTCCCCTTGTACTGCCTGGGTGCACAGGTTCCCCCTGCCACAAGCTGCCCCGCTCCTGGTACAGGGCATCCAGGTCTGTCCACCCCAGAGCCCACCAGTGTATCACCAGACTCCCCATTGCAAGGATCCTACATTTCTTTCTTTTTTTTTTTTAATTATTTCATTTCATTTTATCTTTGGAAATTATTATCATCATTCTATGATACAGTTCCATAGGCCTTGGGATTTCCTCTATCCCTCCCCAAATCCCCCCACCCCCCGGAATTCCCTATATTATTACAACAGCATAGCTTTTCATAAACAGTCACATGTTCATCATTGCAGGCGTGGACAATGGCAGAGTCCAGCTTCCTATTGTCAAGATACAGCAAATAGTTTCAGTAGTAGTCCATCTTTGATCTGGAAGTAGAGATGCACACTGCACTGCATCCTCACATCTGGACATGCTGGTCTCCATTACACAGTCACCATGCAAATAGAAATTTACAACGCCATGAATTTCTCAAGGTTTTGATGGCTCAACAGTCCTGAATTGCTGGTGAGCCTACCACTCCAATCACGATGAGATCTCTCCCGAATCCGCTGGCTGCTATAGTCCACCTTAGTGTCTCCGTCGGCCCAGATCACTGCCAACGCTTGACTGGGGTAGTTGATTAATTTGTTCTGTCCTCCGTCCTCTACCACGGTACCAGGTGTCCTCTGGAGGCTCCGATGTACTGCCATATCCTCCATGTGCATTTGGCTATGCTGTCCACTGCCCAGTCTGAGCAACTGATGAGGCCCAGCTCTGATACAGGCATTCCATGGTCAGAATGTGGATCTGCAATTCTCTCCTCGGTTAGGATTCTGAGTCCAGCGGTTCAGTTGGTAGGAATCACCAAATGTCATCTGAGGCCATCCCAGACCTGATTCTTGTGTGTTTGCCAATACGTCTGTCACCCACATCAGCCTACACACACTGATAGTTGCAATTGCTGGGTCAGTTCTGTCTCCAGCCCCGTGTTTTACACAACCCAATGGACGATGCAGCCCAGCTGATCCTGCCCACCACATTCTTAGCCTTCACGTGAACCAGTGAAAGCTGCAGTGTGTCCCTGGGCTCCTCCCTCCATCTCTTGACTGGTGGCTTGCTTTCCAGCATTCCAGGCAGTGTGCTCTGGGTGAAGATAGGGGGCGGTGTTGTCTCAGTCTTGCAGATGAGGCTGGGCAGGAGGGGACCCTCAGGTAGCTACTGAAGGGGAAACCCTGGGCAAATGAGGCTGCGATTTGTTTCTTTGTTAAAAAACAAGAAAGATCCGTGGAATCCTCACAGGGACCAGTCAGATGTGGCTGGGGACACCGGCCCTGGGGGTCTTCTGGGGGGGGATCTTCTGAACCACAGATACCCACTGGTTGCATTGGGGGTGGGTGTACCCACCGCTGAGGTCCAACACAGCCAGCCCTACAAGCCCTCAGACTGAGCAAGAGCCAGGGGCCCCTTTGTCCCAGGGTTTGGGGTAATGCTGCGTGTGCCCCATCCCCGGGGTGTTCTCTCCCACTGTCCCATAGGCAGGGCTGTGGGTGGAGTGGAGGGCCTGGACTCTGTCCATTTCTCTCCATGACCATCATGGGAGCGCTGAAAGGTGGTGTTCTGCAACCGGCCTTTGTTCTGTCCGTGGGCCTCCTCCTGGGACTCCTTCCGCACACAGGGGGGCCACCCTTCCACAGGCCCACACCATGTGGCCCCCAGCTTCTTAACCCCTTCAGTAAAGCGTCATTTCCACCTTGTGGCTACTGTGAAGAGTGCTGCAATGCACGTGGGAAAGGAGATGGAAAGATGATGTAAAGTTTGTTATTTTGATTTTCTTGGTGTGCACAAATCCAGTGACATTGAATACACTCACAGTATCGTGTGAATATCACCGCTGTTTCCAGAACTTTGTTATCACCCCGAAGAGAAACTGGGCCCTCAGCTCCTGCTGTAGCCCCAAACCTGTGTCCTTTCTCTAAGTTTATATATTACGGATTTTGTTATTGTTGTTAGAGAGAGGGGTCTTTCACTGCTGGTTGACTTCCCAGATGGCCACAGCAGCTGAGGTTGGTTGGAACCAGAGGTTCTTCCAGGTCTCTCACAGGCGTGCAGGGACCCGAGCAGTGGGGTCATCCTCTTTTACTTTCCAGGCTACAAGTAGGGAGCTGAACTGGAAGTGGAGCAGTCAGAACTTGGGCCAGTGCCCACATGGGATGCCAGATTGCAGGCAATAGCTTTAGTTGCTGTCCCTTGTGGATTTTCCATGCACATGAATCCTCAGGGAAATCCCATGCCAACCTGCGCATCTCCCACAGGCTACACAAGAGCAGTTCCTTCCATAAAAGCTGTGTGAATTTGCAGATTTGGGGGCCAGTTCTTTTAAGAGGAGGCTCAGCAAGCTGCTTGGTCCCCCCTGGTGCTGCCTCAGTCCCACACTTGATATTCTCATCCTTCTTGGCCTAACGTTGCCTGACTCCAGCACTTCTTCCTCAGTGAGTTCCAAACTGGAGGGGCAAAACTGGTGTGGACATCTCAGAATCCCTGCTCTTCAGTTCTTCATGTGTGGCTTGTCGTCATGGAAAATTGGGTGGAACAAGAGAGGAGTGAACCAAGTCAAAAGGCATTGCCTTCATCTTAAGCCTGTTCAGGTTCCAATGAGCAAGTGCACAGAGAGCTG